AGGGCGGCGAGCCCCGGCGGGGGCTCGGCTCTCCCCCCCCCTCCCCCGGCGGCCAGAGCGCCGGGGGCAGGGCGGCGAGAGGGCGGCGAGCCCCGGCTGGGGCTCGGCTCTCCCCTCGGTGGCCAGAGCACAGGGCGGAGGGCGGCGAGCCCGGCTGTGGCCCCGCTCTCCCCGGCGGCCGGAGCGCCGTGCCGCCCCCCTCCAGGTGCCGCCCCAAGCACCAGCTTGGGTGCCTGGTGCCTGGAGCCGGCCCTGGTCCCAGAGTAACCTCACCTTATCCGGGCTGGGTCTCCCACAATAGTGCAGGCAGCAGGGAGCGCCTCACCCTGGGTGGAGCCACCTGGTGCATGTCTATAAACCCCGATAGAGAAGCCCCAGGCATGTCCCTCCCTCTGCAGGGGTCGCTGTGCTCAGCCCTGTAGGGCGTTTTTGGTGAACGGCGCAGGGAGCCCGGCCCCAGAACGCTGCCTTTCATAGGTCTGGAATTTACCCGCCCATCAGCCTGGTGCTGCAGCCGCAGCATTCTCCACACTGGCCTTAGCGGTGTCAAGATCCGGGGGACCCCCCACTACCTACAAATCCGAGCTGGCCACAGAACAGCACCTGGGAAAGAGGGGCCGTGCTCTCCTGCATACTGATGGGCAGGCCCGGGCCCCCCTGCATCCCTGCTAATAGGTCCCAGCGAGCCCAGGGCAAGATGTGAGATGGTTTTAATAAGGGGCACTTGGGGCTTTGCTTTTGAACACATCTTCCTGGTAAAGCACTTACAGCTCCGAGGGGAAGCAGCTTGGAGAGGACGGGGTTTCACGAGGCCAAGACGCTGCTTGGCCTGGAAAGAGATGTTGATTCTTTTTCTTTCTTTCTTTCTTTCTTTCTTTCTCTCCTATGGTTAGCCCCCTGTCACTGGGTCTTGGTGGATTTATAACAAGAGACACAAACACTCAAAGCGGAGCTGTTCTTCCCTATTCCTGCCCCTGGCTCCAGCATGCCCACTCACCCTCCATCACCACCCAGGGTGCAGCGCGCCTTCACCCACGCGCTCAGCGCCCGCTTTACTGGCAGTTCTCCAGCGGTGTCTCTGCTCCATTCCCATAGCCAGCGGGGATGGCGCATCCCCTGCCGCGTTGTGGGAGCTGGCGGCACTGATGTCTGCCGAGCAAACAAACAGCCGCGGGGCTCCTGGATTCTTTTTCCTGTCTCCAGCACATCTGCCCGCCCTGGCTGGCTAGGGGCGCTGCGACTGCCTGATTGCTGGGGTTTGCTCCATCAGCGCTGGCCCCAGCTCTCCCCAGTCCCAGCTACCACCGGGCACTGCTCTCCTCTGTTACCCCTTCTGCTTTCTGGCTGGGTTGGGGAGGCGGAGAAGTGGGAAGCCCAGCACCCACAGGCAACCCCACAATAACAAAGCAGTGTACACAGCCCAGCACCCGCAGGCAGCCCTGCACTAACAAACTCGGGTGTGCAGTCCGGCACCCATGCAGAGCCAGGTATGCTGGGCAGGAAACGAGGCTGCTATGCCATTAACCAGGAGCACCTGGTGACACTCGCTGTTCAGTCCCCGGGTCCTAATTAAGCCCTTGCCGGGGCGGTGGGGTCAGTGCCGGGGCGCAGCCATCAGCCCTGGAGAGCCGTCTGAGCCCCGCCGCGGCCCGGCAGGCATCACGCACTGGATGCAAATGACCCCAACGGCTGGAAGTGAGACCGAAGGGCCTCGCCCCCGTACGTGGCTCCCTGAGCTCAGACTGAGAAGTCGGCTGCGGGAGGGCGAAGGCTCCGACGGAAAAGCCCGGGGGGGATTTGGTGGCGTTCCAGTTGAGGCCTCTTTGCCCCTGCTCATTGTGCCGCCCCACGCCAGCACCGAGCCCTCCACGCGATCCGGTCAGTCCCCCACTAACCGCCAAGCCTTCCGTGCGTCTCCCCTGCAGGGGAGATCCCGCCTCTGCCAGCTCTCGGCTGTGCTGGAAATAGACCCTGCTGGGCCCTGCACAATCAGCTGGGGCCTCGGGGTCTGAGAGTGGCTTGCCCTGGCCTAGCCTGTTGGCTGTGAACTCCTTCCCGCCCTGGTCAGGCCCTGCTCCTGCGCTGGACGCAGCGCCCCATGGAGCCGCTGTTACTCAGTTTGAAAAATAAGATGGCTGCAGACGTAGCTCCCGGGAGACACACTCGAAAGTTAGGGGGCATCATTAGTCTCTGCATTAAACCCCTTCGGGGTCTGCTGGCATCTAAATCAAAGGGACCCACTTTCTTCCAGCTTGGGGACAGAAAGATGAGAATCTAACAAAGAGATTAGATAGACAGATAAATAGATAGATTAGATTAGATAGAGGGGGTGTACGAGGATACATAGATAGAGAGGGTGTATGGGAATAAATAGATCAATAGATAGATTAGATAGAGGGGGTGGATGGGAATAGATTATATTAGATAGAGGGGGTGTATGAGGACAGATACAGGGGGTGGATGGGGATAGATAGATGATACAGGGGGTGGATGGGGATAGATAGATTGATTAGATTAGATAGATGTGTATTGGGACAGATAGATCGATGGGTGTGTTATATCGTGGCAATGAGTTCCATAGGTTACTGATGAATGTGTAACGGAGTATTTCCTCATATTGGTTTTAGATTTGCCACCTCTCGTTTGAATTGATACCGAATGAGGTACCATGGATGGAAGGAAGGAGGGGGCGGGGGAGATTCTGTTTTTGCAGTGCTGCGCCTTTACTATTCCTGTAGGAAGAATGTGCCTGTTTTACAAGAACTCGTGATTACCCATGCTGAGCTCTTGCGAAAATCTGGCCCCAGTTCTCGGCGTTGGGTACTTGAAAACCCAGCCTTTAGCAGGGGGCTCTGGAGGCAGCAGTGGGAAGCAGGGAACAGGGATGGACTCCAAGGTACAACCCCACTCTGGGGACCCTGAGCACATGCTTGGGTTGCTCGCCCCTGTGGCAGCATCTTCCCTGCTGTTGTTACCCGTGCCAGTGGATTAAAGCTAGTGGGGGGATTCCTACCCACGCTACCAACACACCGTCCTTTGCGGGATAGATGTACCCAGCAGGTCCGAGCCAGCGGAGCCTATGGCCAAGCGATAGCACACAGCATGTCAAAGCTGCTTGGAGGAGCCATCTTCTGCCGTTCTGCTCATCCAGTCACTCTCCCTCCACCAGGGGCTTTCACCCTGCGCATTGCAAAGCTCCTGATGGAGGGGCCCAGCTGTTAGTTTGCCTGGTGTGTCCTCTCTGCTCATTAAGTGCTTCTGTGTAGATAAACGGAGCGAGATTCCTCCACTTCAGCCGGCAGAGAAGTCCGCTCGCCTATCTCGGACTTTGCAGGGCTGCTGGCGTTCGGCTGTGCTCCTCATTGCCATGCGAGGGCTGCCTGCTGGTTCCCCCAGAGACTGTTTAAAGTCAGTCAGAACTAATTATAAAAAGAAAGAATTAGATTCCGACTCGAGCCAGCTGGCAGGCGTCTGAGCTGCAAATCTTTTGCATATTTTAACGCTGCGTTTGGGTGCCGGGCGTGCACGGCGGGTCCCGCACGCGGGCCTAGAATAAAAGCGGGAGAAAAATCCCAGCTTGCAGAGATCAAGAGCACAGATCCTGTCATGGCTTAACAGCTGGGCATGTACCAGAAGCAGAAGGAGAGAGAGGGCTGCGGAGCTGGGCTTTCATTTGGGGAGCGGAACGGGTGGGCCTGGGGCAAGCAGATGGCCACGTGCGAGCACATTACCGGAGTGTGCAAATGTGGCTGTCTCCTGGAGTTCGCTCAGGGCCCCGTTCCCACGGCAGCCCTGCTGCAAGGGCAGAGCCGCGTGGGGTTCAAACGCTGAACCAGGCTGGACGAACTGGGGCGTGACTTCCCGTCCTGAAGCAGGGAGGAGGGCAATGGCAAGGAATTGTGGGAAGGCACTGGAGGACTAGCAGCACTGAGATGGCTCAGGCCTGTATTCACACTGCAGAGCAGTGACAACAGCCGCTCCAGTGTGAGCAGCACTTGGGTGTAGACTGGGCCCCGTCGGCCGGCCGGCTTAGTGCAAAGCACCCCCACGCTTGAGCCAGAGGCCTTTGGGTGTGGCTGGGACTCGGGTGAGGGGCGGCGCTCGCAAGAGAGCCAGAGATAAGGGCCGTGAAGACAAGCCCTGGGTCTCTCTCTGAAGGGGGCTGCCACAGAGCGACCCCCCCAGTTGGTATCAGGTGGGTGGGGGAAGGAACCGCTAGCGCGCATGGCTGCAGCAGAGATGCAGGGAGGCTGCCCAGTGGAGTTGGAGAACAAACCCTGCTCGTGAGGAGCCCACACAGATTACTGATGATGGCCCATGTGTGAAGTGATCTCTGGGGGCCTGAGAGGGGCGGGGGGGAGCCTGAGCAGTGGCCTCAGCGCCCGTCTCCCAAGGGGCCCGAGCTCTGCCCCATGCCCATGCACCCGTGCCTTGTGTCTTGCAGCTCAGGCCGACCCCTGCGAGACTAACCCCTGCCTGCACGGCGGGACCTGCCAGTCCAACGGAACCGTCTACAGCTGCAGCTGCGACCAGGGCTTCACCGGGGAGAACTGCGAAATAGGTGAGTGGCCTCTGCCCCGCAGCCACGGCCCTGCCCTGCAGAGACAGGAGGGGCTGAGAAAAGCCGCCCGGCCAAACTGAGTCGCCGGTTCAAATCCAGCCAAGGGCAGGCGTGGCACTTGATGCCCGTTGCCTGGTCTCTGCGGCAGTGCCAGGCTGGGGATGGGAGTGCAGGTGCCCGTGGGCACTGCTTGACTCCTGGCTGGCCGATGCTGCGAGGATGGAGTGAGCCACGGAGGCTGAGCCCTCCCCTGGGAAAAGGGGGGTGCAAAGCTAAGTCTGCTCCTACCCCTGCCCTGGGGGGAATCTCAGACTCCAGCCAGGTGGGCCCCCCTTGCCAGCCTTACAAACGCTATGAAAACCCCCACACAAAGGGGTTAATGGGCAGCGAAACCCCCAGCTCTGCAGCAAGGGGAAATGCTGCCGGCGATGCGGACGCCTGCTAATCCCTTCGTCGGTGAGAGGGAGCCCCGGGCCCGGTCCTTTAAAGCACCTTTTATTTCATGCGCCTCGTTTTCGCAACATTGCGTCCCACCCCCACCCCTCGATTCCCTGCACGCACACGCCTGGCCAGGCCCCTCAGTGCCTCTCTGCGGGCAGAGGCTGGGAAATGTCATGTTACAGGCTGAGCTGGCGCCCACGGATCGGCAGCCGGCCCTTCGTTCGCAGCCACACCGGTTCCCACGATGCGACTACAGCTCGGCTCTGCTAGCTGGCTGCAGGGCCACCCACCCGCCCGTACATCCATCCCACCCAGCTTCTCACCGGCCACGCTGCTCAAGAGAGACCCCGGGATGCCAGCTCCCCACCCGCTGCCAGAGGCCAGGGGAGCTGTAGGGGGCAGATCGTCTCAGCCTGCGTTACCATCCCGGCTACACGAAGGGTCTGTCTGCACTGCAGTCACCGGGTGGGATCGCAGGTCATGTAGATGTCCCTGAGCTGGCTTGAATCTAACAGGTGCTGGAGCAGTGAAGCGCGGGCTGCGGCACGGACTAGCCACCCGCGTCATAACCCAGTGTTCCCGGCAGGCCTGTGCTGCGCCGGGACCCGAGGGATCTAGATTAAAGCTGGCGTGGGTACATTTACCCTGCCGCAGTCACACCCCAGGACTGGAGTGCAGACATGCCCTGCGGCCCCTTTAGGGCACTCTGGCAGCATAAACAGGTTCTCTGAGCATCCCCCCCCCAGCACAGGGGGCCTCTCCAGCTGATGTGGAGCTGGCTTAAGGGCCGTACACCCACCCTGCTCCTAGCCCCGCTCCCAGATGGGGAGATGGGGGTTGTGGCTGGAGCTCACTGCAATATGTCTGTTCTTTACTTTCCAGCACCCATAGGGGACAGTAGGGAGAGGAGCATAAGTTCGAGCCACCCTGAAGCGGCTCTAATTTACACTGGGACCTGGCCAAGGCCACGCATGGACCCAAATTACAGAGCGCACACAGGCTGCGTGAGGCTCCTATCCCATCTCCAAGTGCAGGGACAGGGGGGATCTGAGAGCGGAGCCCAGCATTTCACCCCCTGGTTCGCCCCCCGTAGCGGGAGGCGGCTGTGGTTGAGTTTCACCATCCCGGAGGAACATTCGCTCCCATTTGTTTATAAAATCGTTCTGAGGGATGCAGGAATCTCTCCCGGGAATGTTTCTGCCCCAGAGAAAAGTAAAACCCCTGGCTAAAAACGAAGGCTAATCCAGGGCTGGGTGTCTCCGGAAAGGCCAGTCCACCCTAGATTTGTTCCTGGCATCAGTGTTCCTTTTAGGGTGGTGCTAGGAGCCTCAGACCAGGCCGCAGGCCTGCAGAGCCGGGGGACACACGGACAGGAACAAAGCAGGCAGTCCCTGCCCCAGAGAGCTCCCAGTCTGGGCCTCAGGCAGGATGGAAGCAGCTTGAAGGCTCCCTGCCCTGCTGTTTTGTGTCTGTCCCTTGTATCAGGGTTCGGCACACCGGGATGTAGGGGCTGCAGGCTGCTCGTTACAAACCTCTCTGATCCAGTGGACCCCACCCCAGCTAGCCCATCTGTTGGATAATGATCCTTGGGTGTGTTGCTGGGGACCCAGCTGGGAGCTGACTCCCGCTGCCTCGGTGGCGCGAGGAGCTGGCCCCGTTCCCCCGCGAGGGGCGGGGAGCGTGATTGGTTGGCGAGGACGATCTCGCCCCACTACCTCATGCCACGCCTGTGCCGTGATGAAGCACTGCGGGCTCCAGGCTATTATCACAGTGCTGGGGCCGCCACACTCGCTGATTTCAAATTGGCGCGGAAGCTGGCGCGGGAACGGCCCCTCGCTGATTCCTCTTTAAGCCTCTTTCTCCTCCCCACCCACCCCCAATCTCCTTGTGCTTCCCCCGGGCAGCACTCCCGGGGGGTGCAGTGGGGTACGGGGGACCCCCAAACTCCACCCGGGCGGGGACCCTAGGGAGGGGAAGATCTTGCTTTCCAAACGTGTTCATTTCCCCGCCTGCTGCAGCCGTTTCTCTCGCAGTACGAGCTAGAGGCCCTGTTGTGCAGGGTGCTGCACAAACCCCGGCCAGACAGAGGGAGGATCCTTATTGCCCAGCGAGGGAACTGAGGCTCCAAGAGACGGAGTCTGTGGCAGAGGCAGCTCTCCTGGGTCCCCACGCGGCGCCTTTCCCCAAGGTCAGGGGCTGCTGAAGGAGACACTGGCTCTTGACCACGCGGAAGAGCTGCCATGGGAGCCCACTGCGTCTCCCAAAAGGCCTGGGCCCTGCCCGTCGGCCATGCTTTGCAGGTCAGCCCAGGGCCTGGGGCAGCCGGCACTGGAATATCAGGCTTAAAACCAGAGAGGCTGAGATACACGTGGGGAGAAAAGACCTTTCCAGAGTCAGGTAATAACGGTGAAGCAGCATCGATTTCCCTGTTACAGCTCAGTAAACGGTAACGAACCGCTCGGCGCCTTCCCAGATGGGATCGGTGCCTCCTGCACAGGGACAGGCTCTGGCCTGACTGCGCACACGCCCGCTGGCTGTTGGGGGGGCTGGCTGTGGCAGCTGAGCACCGGGCACACTGCGGCGGATTTCTCCTCACTGCCCCGGAAGGCAGGACAGGGCGATTAGCTCATTTACAGGTGGGGGGCTGATGTCCAGAGGCTAAGGAACTTGCCCAAGGACACATGGTGAGTTCGTAGCAGAGTGCGGCACTGAAACCAGCTCTCCTGAGATAAAGCCCCAACCTCTGGACCATCCTTCCACTGAGCGCCAACTGGGGAAGAGGGTCGTGGCATCCGCCTTATGCCCTGGCTCCAGCTCCACCAGTGACTAAGTGCCTGATCCAAAGCCCACCGAAGCCAACGGGAGCCTTTCCACGAGCTCCGGTGGGTTAGGGTCAGGCCCCAGGAGCCTGCGTGATGGCAGGGGGTTTGGAGCAGACAGGTATCCGCGTCCCGCCGGAGAATTGCCCCAGAATGGCTGGGGAGCGGCGCTGGAAATCTCGACAGCACGGGCCGTCTCCAACACTTCCTGCAGCACTAGCTGCCGAGAGGTCTGGCAATCCACCAGGAAGCCCCAGCCCAGCCCTGGGCCGTACAGATATCTGCCCCTTTGGGTGCTCTCCCAGAGTCTCCCATCACTAGTCCCGCCTAGGTGCCCCCTGGCCAGCTGCCCGCACCGCCCAGCCCTCAGCACCAGCGCTGGGACAGCTGCCAGAACCGAAAGCATCAGCCCGATAATTCATTAACCACAGATAAATCAGCTCCAATTAGTGCTATTGAGCAGGGCAGCCGGGGCTGAGCGGCCTCCGCTGCGATGGCAGGTGCACTCTGTCCTTGTCAGGGAGAATCCGATACCCCATTAGTGAAGCCATCAGCCCGGTGGCACGCTCAGCCCTGAGCCTCTTGGGGCTAAGCAGCCGCCTCACCCCAATTCTGGGATCCCTTGGGGTGGCTGCCTGGGGAGGGATCAGCCTGCCCCACCCCACTGCGTGGGGGGG